AATCAACTCATCTAATGTTTCATTGCCACTAGTCCATCCTTCAGTTAATAGCTTTGGGTCACATGATTGACACCATGCCCAATGGGTGTTATATCTATTGCAGGTTGGACATACCCCATGTTTTTCTTTTCTTTTATCAGAATATTTATCATCATCATTTTTGTCAGTAGAAGTATTGTCATGATGTTTATTTTCATCCAAAGTGTTTTCCATTTTTAAAAATTATTTGTGGTGTATAGTTTGTCAAAGAATTTTTTTTCTAAAAGCCACAAATATGGATCACACAAAATATTAATATATTTAGATTTTTCTAAAAAATTTATGACTTGTGGTACTTGAATTAGCATTACAATGATTTATTGTAATTAGTGCAACAAAAGTATAGATTTATAATAATAATTCCACTTTTTGTTAGTAATAAATTGTGATGTCTTCAGGTATACATACTTTCCTTTTTCATTAACAATAAATCATTGATGATTTCAGTTATAATTCTATTTTTTTGAATGCAAAAATAAACAAAATTACTTTTATTTATTATTGATTTTTTAATAAATGTTGTATGTGAAATTTGAAATTGAAATATTATGGAGAGGAGTGGGGTGAAATTCTGATTGGCTAATTTGAATTTCACATACGTGAATTGCGAATTCACATAATTTCATTTTCACGTATAATAAAAAAATTTTTTTTTTTGAATAATGTGAGATCGAAATCCACATCTTGCACAAATCTCTAGATTTTATTTATGATGATATGCCAACAATGTTAATACAATTCACTAAAATTTTATCTGCAACCCTGCAAAAATATGGAAAGAAATTTTGTTGAATTATGGAAAGATACAAATGATAATTTTTCTTTCAATTACCCAAATTCAGGAATTATTATTAAAATAGCACCCCCTATATCTTTTTCTAATGCACATGTAGAAGAATATTTTCAGAAATGAAGTTGATAAAAAACAAATTGAGAAACAAAATGAATATTAATACATTGAATAGTCATTTAATGATGTTATTAAAGGGACCAGATATTCAAAATTTTGATTTTAAAATAGCATATAAACCTTGGGCAAATAAAAAAAAAGAAAACTTGTTATTAATTATAAATTTTTTTGTTAAAAAAAATATCTATTGTTTTTATTCTTATATAACTAAAAATTTTCATAATAATAATTTTTAACGAATGTAGAGATTTATTTCCTAATCATTTTCAAACTGTATTAGTACATCATATTCTTCAGATGTTAGGGGGAACACCACCAAGTCTACGTCCATAATCAAATCTCAAATTCATCATATGTTGAGTGTTATTATCTACATAAAGTTGTACAGAAATAATATTAGTTCAAAAAAAGATGTTGATATATATATATATATATATATATTCATTATAGTATCTACCTTGATCGAAGACGACATTTTCCGATGGTGTGGACAAAAGATTACCTGAAAACATATTATTACACCCTGATAACAATCCATTTCCATCGATCATATTATCTTCATTGTTATTATTATTATTATTGCCATTGTTATCATTATTATCTATATAAAATTGTATAATTTAAAATCAATCAAAAAATAACATTATCTACCTTGATTGAAGTCAACATATTCTGGTGGTATGGCGGGCAAAAGATTATCTGAAAACCTAGGATAATATCCATGTAAAAATCCAGCTCCATCAGTAATGTTATTCTCTTCGTTGTTATTATTATTATAATTGCCATTGTTATTATGGTAATTTTTTTGATCTTGGAACATAAAAATATTGTATTATCACAAAAAATATATTTTATTTTTTTAATGTTTATTAAAATAAAATAATAAATAATAAAAATAATAAAAATAAATAAAAAATAATATTATCTACCTTGATTGAGGTCGACATATTCCAATGGTATGGGCAAAGGATTATCTGGAAACATACTAATACCATCATATCCAGATAAAAATCTATCTCTATCGGTCATGTTATTCTCTTCATTGTTATTATTATTGTTATTATTATCATTGTTATTGTTATTATTATCATCTATATAAAAATTGTATAATTTAAAAATAATATTATCTACCTTGATTGAAGTTGGCATTTCCTGATGGTATGGTGAACCAAGAATTATCTAGAAACATATCATCATACCCAGATTCATCGATCATGTTATTCTCTTTGTTGTTATTATTATCATCCATATAAAATTTTATAATTAAAAAATAATATTATCTACCTTGATTGAAGTCGGCACCTTCTGATGATATGATGGGCAAAGGATTATCTGGAAATATACAACCAGATAAAAATCCAGCTTCATCGATAATGTTATTTATTATTATCTGTCGTTGTCATTGTTATTATTATCATCTACATAAAATTTTATAATTAAAAAATAATATTATCTACCTCGATTGAAGTCGGTATCTTCTGATGATATGGTGGGCAAAGGATTACCTGGAAATATATAACCAGATAAAAATTCAGCTTCATCGATCATGTCATTTCTTTGTTGTTATTATTATCACATATATAAAATTGTATGATTTAAAAATAATATTATCTACCTTGATTGAAGTTGGCATCTCCTGATGGTATGGCGGACAAATGATTATCTGGAAACATATAACCACACCCAGCTCCATTGATCATGTTATTCTCTTCGTTGGTATTATTATCTGTCATTGTCATTGTTATTATTATCATCTACATAAAATTTTATAATTAAAAAATAGTATTATCTACCTTGATTGAAGTCGGATATGTTGGACAAAAAATTATCTAGAAATGTATAACCAGATAAAAATCCAGCTTCATCGATAATGTTATTCTCTTCGTTGGTATTATTATCTGTCGTTGTCATTGTTATTATTATCATCCATATAACATTGTATAATTAAAAAATAATATTATCTACCTCGATTGAAGTCGGTATCTTCTGATGATATGGCGGGCAAAGGATTACCTGGAAATATATAACCAGATAAAAATTCAGCTTCATCGATCATGTTATTTCTTTGTTGTTATTATTATCTACATAAAATTGTATGATTAAAAAATAATATTATCTACCTTGATTGAAGTTGGCATCTCCTGATGGTATGGCGGACAAATGATTATCTGGAAACATATAACCACACCCAGCTCCATTGATCATGTTATTCTCTTCGTTGGTATTATTATCTGTCATTGTCATTGTTATTATTATCATCTACATAAAATTTTATAATTAAAAAATAGTATTATCTACCTTGATTGAAGTCGGATATGTTGGACAAAAAATTATCTGGAAATGTATAACCAGATAAAAATCCAGCTTCATCGATAATGTTATTCTCTTCGTTGGTATTATTATCTGTCATTGTCATTGTTATTATTATCATCTACATAAAATTTTATAATTAAAAAATAAAAAATAATATCACCTGTCTTTTTTTTTGGCCCTCTTTGCTCTGGATTCCAACTTTTATCGCAGTCCCTACCACGTTTTAAGCATCTTTGACAGGGAATTCCTTCGCTGCACTTCTTCCGCTCATTTCTACATTCCGAACAGGCTTTAGTTACATAGTGACCTCTTTTCATCACTGGTAAAAAAATAAATTCAACGATGGTTAAAATGATTGTTTATTTACTAAAATTTTGATTTTTTTACCCGTGTTTGTATTTGTGTATGTATTTCCAAGAAAAAAATAGAAACGAAACGGTAATAAAAGAATTTTTTCCTTGTAAATATTTTTAAAAAGAAAGTTCCTCTGGAAACCTACTACTATTTATACATTTTTTTATCCATATCGGTAAAACTGTCAACATAGCGGTATTTTTTCAATTGGCATTCTATTAATATGGTCAACATAAACGTTTTTTTTGTTCGGAATTTACTTTAATTTTCCAAATTAATATATTAATTGATCAGATGAATGAATTATTTTTGCGACAAATTGTTGATCTGCGTTTTCCTATAGGCCGCAGCTGCATGGATAATGCCAATCAGTAATGTGACGTGTCATTGTTGCGATTCTATTCGTCAATTCAAAATTCCGATAATGATCATTGTTGGCCGACAAAGTTTAAGGTAAGGCTGGGTTACACAACACATATTAATATGGCAAAAAAATCACAAGACCGCGATTTTAAGGTTAAAAACTCTTTGTATATATATCTATAGTATGTAAAGCTATATATTGAACTACGTAGTTTTATCACAATTTTGTTAATAAAGTTATGTTTTTGTTAAATTAAGGAAAACTAAATGAACATTAATAACTATTGATTTATAAAAAAACACTAGAGTTTTATAAGAAGATAAAGCTGTACTAATAATATTTCATTTTTATATTATTATACATATATTCACACTGTTCAAAGTCTCTTGATTTTCTCTTAGAAGTTTTCTTTTGTCCGTTTCACATTTTCTCATAAATGTGGGACCTTTTACTGTGAGGTAGAATTTAAAACCTTTGCTGTAAGTTGGGAAATTTCTGTGCTGTTCAGTACTGAAATAGTGAGCGATTTTAAATTAAAATCTATATATAAATAGAAATAAGAACACATTGGTGTGAATCATCATTACCAACTACAAACTCTTTACACGAGCAAACAATTTAGTAAGAACGTTTTTTGGAATGATGATCTATTTATGTTCAAGCAGTTTTCCATTATCTATAATTATCTACAAGTATATTTCATATATTTGCAAGGTATGTAACATATGGGGGGATTTCTAACAAAAACCAGGTACAAGGCCTCCAGACCAAAATTGAATTTTCCACAAGGATTATAACTGGCGGAAATTTTAGATATATATCAAAAACATGTGTAACATATATTGCTTATACTCGGTTTTTTTCCTAGATTATCTATGTTTTTTTTATTATTTAAAAGCAATAATAATGTTAAATAGAGAGAGATATTAAAGGTGTTATTGGGATTCATTCAAGAGGACGGATAGGTAAATTCAAATGTTAATTTTTTTTAATTCACAATAATAAAATTAGATTAGTAATACTAATTAATTTATGGTTGGAGATCGAGAATGCCCACTCATTTTTTGGTTCCGATTCATCCATTCAACCGCCTAAGCTCAAGATCCTGTAAAAGCTTGGTCATATCAAATATTTATGTGGCTTATGTGATTTGTAAAACATAAAAATAAGGTATTACTTGGATCATAGAAAAAGTAATAGATTAGTGAATTATTAATAAAAATATCACTAAACTTGGACAACTACTTCACAGTATGGTTGATTTTGCTAAAGGGTATAGATGTAATGATAAATTATTTGTTTCAAATGATTGACACATTTTCCATATCTAATAAAGTGTGACGTCACGAACTCTATCCTCAAGCGCCTAAGGGTTCAGCCTTAAGGGTAAACCTCAAGTAAAACAAATTCCATTTTGGTATCAAATGTTTTTGTGTAGCTTGAGAATGTCCTCACGCGCATGGGTTTTATCCTCAAATGACAAATTCTATGTAATATATAATTAATGATCAAGTTAAACTTGCAAATGTAATTTAACTATATGTTTTTGATTTTATAATATCAATAAATTGTCTTTATTTGCAAATTACAATGAATCAAAATTCCCGAGAAGATTTTGAAAACTTTATTCAAAATACACTCCAAAATACTAATATGATCATACCTTCATCATAGCCACATAATCAATATAGGTTTTTATTTTCATTATTTAATGATAAATTTTTGTCACCCGTACTCAGAAAAACAGCATTTTTGATTATCAGTGGAGTCAATTGATAAATGTATTAAAATGAAAAACTTTAGATTTTAATAATTTTATAGTGGATATGAGAAAAAGATTTAAAAAACTTATAAAAGTTTAAACATACAGTATATGCAGCAGGAAAAGAAATTTATTAAAAAAAATATTTTATGTAAACAAATAGACAAGAAAAGTGTTTCCGTAGACAAATGGGTCGATTATAGTCGAACATTTAATAAATAAGGGAAAGCTTATATAAACAAATTTCTATAACAGCCATTGAATAATTTATAGAAGGAAAATTTTTATTACGTTATTAGAAACAAAGAATTTTGTTATGTGAGCGTTATCTTATTCTGGTAAATATTGACCCAAAAAATGAAATTGCTTGTGGATGATCCCCGAGTCACTTGAGGTTCGCCCTTTATGCTGAACCTTAAGCGCTTTGGGTTTCAGCCTTAAACTCAAAAAACATCATGTTGATTATGACGTCACAAAGTGGAATCATAATTACGGGATCTTAATTAACATTAATATTAATATACAACGTTTATTATCGTGAAACCCATCAATGATTTTGATGATGTCATGGCCTGGGAAATATGGAAAATAACGGTAAGTTAATTAAAGGTGGGCTGCACGATAAAATTATTACAATTTTTACGTGTAATCCTACCCCCCAGTTAATTTAAAGTTAGCCGCGCCACCTTTAATTAAAATAATTAAATAATCTCAAATTTTATCATTATTAATTAACAATAAATAATGTTATATTTTAAAAAAATCATAAATCTAAAACATATTCTATATCAATTTCACCATTAGTTCTCATAATTCTTGATTGTCAATATTAATATATTTTTCAATTATTTCTTCCTCATCCACTATATTATTTTCTCCTGGCTCTTCCACTGCTACCTCTTCTTCTTCCACTTTCTTCCATTTTTTCCTTTCTTCAGATATTATTGGTTTCTTTAATTGAATCTAATTCTCTAATAGATGTATTAACTGTTTCTATATATATATAAACAAATTATCCTCCATATTTTCTTCAGAATAATTAAGTTCTTCTGTTCCATCAGCAACGTAGTATGAATGTAACTTGGCCATCTCTTGAGCTTTCCGAAGCTAAAAAAAATAATTTGAATGTTTTAATACATGAAGATATTAATAAAATCTTCATATAACGAAAAAAATTTTCACTATCCATACCCCATATATTCAGATTAAAAATCTATCAAGTCCTAGCACAGAGAAAACCTTTTCACAATTTACATTATGAGGCAAAATATTAAGGATTTTTCAAAGCCAACATTCGTACATGATTATAATCTTGTTTGTAACTATCCCACAAAAGTTTTGGAGCGTCTATATCATCAAGATATTCATATGCTTCGTAAGCATGGAGTTGTGTAATGAGTAAATCAACTGTTGCAATAGTTTTCTTATAGGAACCATGCATAAGCTGCTGGTTGACAAATTTTTCTTAAAGTTTCATTCCTTGTTCAATGCTTAGGATGAAGAAAATATGCAAGAAGATAAAGTTCAAAGTCAAATTGTCTCCAACACCTATTAAATAATCAAGTTCTTTAGTTCTAAATTGATAATTTATATCCTCGGATAAATCCTTGATTGCAATATTAGTTTGATTAATTGTATAAAACAATCTACAAGTGTGGTTGTAATTACATGTTTTATTGGCATTAACACCTTTGATAAATCTTCAACCTGCTACCAAAAAGCATGATTCCTTAAAATAGATTCAAATTATCAGTTAAACCATCTGGATCATTATTGAGAATTTAAAAGTATATATACAAGTAATAAGTGTACTAAAATTAATGCACTGTATTTATATAAAGATAAAGTAAATATGTACTGACATTTTTAAACAAAGAAATAGCTTCCTTAACCCTAGGTATATTAAAAATACATGTGTTTTATAATTTTGAAAGTTATATATATATGACTGTTTTTTTTTAGAATTTCTTCTTTTAGGATTACACGCACACAAATCTAGAACATTGATTATGACATTATGACCTATTACACTTATCACTCAAATGCCGTAATATTATGACAAATCAATTTGGGCTGCATTATAGTAATGATCAATGGATCTCTAGAAAAAATCAAAACAAATTGTAGATCTTTTCATTGAAATAAAAAAATTGGCGAAAGCTTTATTATTAAATGGTCATACAACTCCCAAAGTTATGTATTATGTATATTTTAACTGCTTTACAAACCTACCAAAAAACAATCAATAGCTTCAAATTATAATCATAAAGTTGTCATACAAAATTCGATAACTTTTTTCATAATTTTTAAATATACTGAAGAGTCGTTTGAGTTTATTGATCCGTCACTCATTCATAAAGCTCTGAACAGTTCTGTTTAAATCAAAAAATTCAGTTTGGTTTCGTTTGGTTTGGTCCAGTTCAGTTTTTAAAAAAGCCAAACTGAGGATTTTTGGTTCAGTTCAGCTTTGGTTTATCTTGTGAACTGAACAGATAATAAATTGAAAGATTTCAGCTTATCCGAAATATCAATGTGCTAAGATTGTTGAAGATTTGGAAACGTGAATAATAAATTTTTTTCGATTTATATTTATTATTTCTTTAAAATTTTTTTCTTATAGTTGTAACTTATTTACTTTTTTAAAAAAACTTTTTTAATAATAATCTTTACTTTAATTTTTATAAACGGGAAACATAATAAGAAAATTATGCCAATTATATTTTAATAACACGTGATGCAAAAATTTAAAATCCGTTATAGCGTGAACTTAACTTTAATCCACTTGACTGTACTTGAATATTTTGTCTGGGTGTAAAAACACCAAATCGCGTCATGATTGAGCATGGTTATAGCAATGTTAATTACTGCACTGATCTTTGTGCTTTTAATTTTGAAGTATATAGCAATAAACTTTTAAAAGCTCTATTATTCCTAATTGGTTGTCTAATTTAAAACACGAATTGGAATGTCAAATGTTAATACTTGAGAGTTTTTTATTTGTTGTTTTTTTTTACAAAGTGTAAAAATCAACAAAATCATGTCGTATTCAAGCTGTACCGGTTACTCACATAATGGTTAGTCAATTTTGGTATGGGAAATGAGTTTGTTGCACTTATTTTTGCGACTTTTAATCTAAATGATTTTTTTATCTTATAAAATTCGATTCGGTTTCAGTTTGCGTTTAATAAAGTTCAGTTTGGTTCGGTTATAAACCAAAATTTTGCTGTTTGCACTCTAAACTGCGCCGAACCAAACCGTTCAGATTCATCAGGAATATGGCTATTAAAATTATAACATTAATAAATAATTACATATTAACAATTTATAAAATGAATTTCTCTCTACCTATTGTATGTAACAGGTTACTTTATATAAATCCTGTGCTAAATTTTATATAAATAAACATGATTGAAACTATTAAAAGTGTTAAATAAAAGTCTGCCAGTTGATTCTTAAAAATAATGAATAATTAATGAGATCATTTTAAATTTTGTAAAAGTATACTTTGAATTAAGGCAATACTTAACAATGAGATTCCAACGTTTTCCTGGATGTCTATTTGCAAGATCTTAATACGACACAGACATGGCAGAGAACTAGCTAGTGAGTGGTCTAGTATTTGCCATTAATAACTTGTAGATTGTAACTATAGAATCAAACAATAAATAAATAAATGGGATTTTGGACCAATAGTTCACCTATATGTAAGAAAAAAAGTTGTGTTCTTAGAATATATATTCAAAAGAATTTATTTCAAAAGAATTTATTTCAATATCACGTAAACTCATATATGAATTGATCGATGAATTTTTCCAGAATCCAAATTTGGTATATTCCCTGATTGTAATCGTTGATGACAACAAATAATAGGCTATGAGGATCAAACTGAATAGGATGTTTAATTTTGGTTATTTTCAAGTTGAAACTTGTTATTATTTTCTTTTATTCAAGAAAGGGAAAAGTTATTGTCAAAGTAGATGGCATTCAAGTTGTTTGTATACATGTTTATAATTAGAGGACCACTTTAGCGACCAAGTCTACTTTATCGACTTTGAAGATGTTGTCTACCAAGTCTATTATTGTGTCTCATTGACTTGATACAAATTAAACAACACATGTCGAAATACAATGTAACAAAATATCAATCAATAAATAAATAGGATAATGTCAATAAGAGTGATTAATCCAAAGATAGGTATGTGTGTTGCGAAATTCAATAAAGAGACTTGTACTAAAGGTGATATGGCGCCATTTTAATAATGGCTTGAATTTAGAATTATATTTGATTTCTTCTATTCCATTTCGAATTTAGCTTTGATTTCGATTTTTGATTTTAGTCGAAAATAGCCCTTTAAATTAGTTCTATCCGAACACAAACACAAGTCAAATCTCTCTTCTGCCAATAATTCAACAAGTGATTTAATGACATGTGAGTTGAATAGCCACAATTTTTATGTAGTAAATAATAACATTAAATAATAACCAGTTTTTAAACGGTGATCTTGGAATCAGTATTAGGGTCGATTTTTTAACTAATCTTGGAACCTGTTCCAAAAGACTGGACTTTGGAACTGAATCAGTAAAAACATGGTAATCTGTCCATTGGATATCACCGAGATAAATTAAAAACAGTAATCAGGTTTATTGTGAGATATTGATTAAAGGATTAGGAATGATATGTTACACTAAAAAAAATAGCTCAATTCTTTTATTATTATATCACAAGTTGAAGATGTCGTCTCCTTTCCAGCCTAAAGAATTCGCCTCGCCAACTTATACTCTATCTTTATGTAAAAAATATTTTTACATAGGTTTAATATTTTTACCGTAGTTATGGTTGATCAACATTATTTATATGTGGCCAAACACAAAACGTCAAGATATAGGCAGAGAAATTAGAAAATGTATGAGACTTTTTTATTAAATTTTTCAATCAATCAATCATCATTGATTGGTACTTATTTATTGTTTATATTTATCATTTTTTCAGATCTTACATTTCCGCAATTGGTATAATATTTTGGCTTATAGTATCAATGACTTGGTTCATCATATTTGTTAATAAAAGAATTTCTTGGGGTGAATTTTCAGACAATATAATAGTTGTAAGACTTAAAGGTATCTAAATAGTTGGCTAGTTATGTTTTCGCGTATAATATATTTATTTTATAATTTTAATATTTTGTTACTTTTTGTAAAATTAAAAAAAATGCAATTTAATTAATTAATTTCTTAATTTCTTGTTACTTCGAGGTGACTTAGATCCATTTGTCTAAAAAACAATTATATATCATATATTATATACTATCATCCGAGTAAATCCAATCAATCATCAATCAATCAATCAATCAATTCAATACTTACCAGTGGATTGTTGAAGTTAGAGCTATCGATGATACTCGATTTTGCTTTTTGCAAGGTTGCTTGTTTTGTCTTCAATTCATTTTCTTGTTTTTCAAGATTTTTTTTTAAATCCAACAAGTTTTGAATAGCTTTTTGTAATTCTGTCCATTTACCACAAACACTTTCAGTTGGTACAGTGGGAAGATACCCTAATCCACATTCCTGGAAAGTCTTTTGTACTTTTGTTAATAAGTTTTGTTTTGGAACTGGTATTTTTTGACTTCTAACTGATGCTCCTATTGGGAATTTTTCACACCGTGTATGTATAGGTATTATGGCTTCAACTTTTGAATGAGCTAAAAATGAAGAGGAAGTAATTATTAGAGAAATAACAAAAGATTATTAGAAAATTAGAAAAGTAAAATCTTTATCTACGTTCTGATACAGTAGTGGTTGAAGTTGATGTATGATAATGTTGGTTTTATTGTTGTCTTTTAAGCAAATCCCCAGCAGATAGATTGAAAGCTCTTGATGATCCATTAAATTCAACAATAGGTGTTAATGGACCATTATGAAATGATTTCTTTCTTTTTTGCTATATAAATTATTTTATTATAATATTATTTAACTATTAATGATAATAAATTTTCATTTTTTAATTGTTATTATTATTATTATTATTATTATTTTACCGGATTTTGAATGATTTCTCGAAGGCTTAATAATTTCGCCAAACTTTCACTCTCTTTTCTAATTTTCTTTTCAATTTGTTCAATATGTCCATATTCCTTTAACAATGACTCTTCTTCCTATAAATATATCACAATTATACGATGGTTATTCTACAAATACAAATACAAATGTAAACGATAAACATATAATAAATATCCATACCGCTATTTGTTTCGAAGAACGGTTATACAAATGACGTAAATTTTTTTTTCTTTTTTCTTCCTTTACTTTATCATAAGTATTCAATGCAATAATTGCACCTTTGTCTTGTTGATTGTTACCAGGTTGTGTTGGTCTTATTTGTAAAATCTTTTTACATACTGAGTAGTATCTTTCTTTTAAATCCTTTTTATATATTAAAAAGTGAAAAGAAAGGTGTGCGAGAATTAGTTTTTAAGAATTCTTGGTCTATTAGTATCACCATCATCATCTTTTAAATCACATATTAATATAAATATAAATTTTATAAATTTTTACTTCAATAGTTCTAATCTTATTTGGAAAATCATATCTATCATGTATAATAATAAACCTAAGATCATATTTTCTACACATATCAAACAGATAATCAGTTTCTTCCTTGGACCAATCTCGATCTAGAATAAATAGATTATATATATATATGTAGATATATATGTGAAGATAAAATGCTGATATATAATGTGAATCTATATTTATACCTATTAGATATTTATTATATTCATCATCCTCATAACTCTCAATTTCGACAGAACAATTAAATCTAAAAAAAGGATATATTTCTAGAAGAAAAGCTTGGCCTTAGATATTGTTTACAGCTTTAAATTAATCAATCAATAGATAAATAAATTACCCTGATCTTCGATATTCGAGACTTTTGTCCAATGTTTTAACTTTAATCCATCATTCCTTGAATTATTAATAAATTCTTTACATTCCCTTTAGTGAATTTTAAATATTAATAAATAAATTTTTATTAAATAAATAAATTGTTATGTTTAATCAATAAATTAATCAATTAATCAATCAATGAACTGATCAAATATAGATTTATCACCATTGAACACCTTGATCCATCAATTTTGATCTAGTTTTTAGAGCAGGTCTCACAATTGCTACGGGAGATGGTCCACCAATTAATTGAAACAATTTTTCAGTTAAAACATCTAAAATCACACACACATATATATATAACAGTGTAAGTACAATGAATGTCATTATGTCAAATATAAATAAACAAGTCATTAAAAAGTTCTTGTAATAAATACTGTCTGAAAACCATTAAATTACCTGATTCATTGTTTACATTTTCAGGTTTAGAATAATCATTGTTTAATGAATCATTTTCTACTGTTTTCGAAAGTTCTTGAATATCTTTATTGTCAAAATAAGTCATATTTATTTATTTTCTTTTAGATCATCAATGAGAACATGTAATTAATTGAAATTGAAAAAGTTGAAAAAATTTTTTTATTAATTAAAATTAATTAAACATAATAAAATATATAAATCATTTATTGACATTGTAAAATAATTAGAAATTTCCAGTTAAAACCATTCTGTCAATATATCACGAAATTTAACAAACCTTCTTTATCACACAAGAAAGATTACGAAAGGAAAGTTAAGTTACACACTAAACCATCGCGTTCTATGCGTAGATCGACCCAAATTTTAAACGTTGTACAACAATATAATAATTGGAACACCTTTATCAAATACAATAATAAATTTCATGACCAAGAATTAATAATGGAGTTGTTTTATTAGAATATATAAAATTTGCAAAATTCATGATATTGATATTATTTCATGGTTTAAAATAACCTTTAATCATTAATATAAAACTGCTTTCGAAATAACATCTTGAAAAATGGGATCAGGCAAAGTTGTAGAAGACTGAAGTATCACTGTAGAAACATGATGGTTGAATATTAATAGTATATTGGCAAAAATTATGTTACCTTGACCATTGATCATATCAATTAAATGCTCCTTTGAATAGAGAGTACCAAAATTATTATTTAGATTCAAAAGATAAAATGTTTTAGCAATGATTGTATACCTCTAAAGGAACTAATGAATTATCAGCTTGGCAATTGTGCAACAATGAAATTAAAATAATGAGAAATGGTGCAAAGATAATTGTGGATAACTGTCTGCATTACTGCATAGTAGTATATACACTTACAGTCATTTGTGTAGTATTTATAATATAAAAAAAAAAAAATTCATCTTTTTGATTTTACCTTGAACATAAAACAATGAAGTATTCCACTGTTTTTCAGGGATTGAATGAGATGAAATTAGTGGTGATGGCTTGTTTATAGATGTTGTCTTTAATGGTGAAAACCGTAGAAATTCTCCTATATGTGGTAGACATTGAGCTCGCATAAATCCAGCATAATCACCTTCAATTGGCCATTCAAAGTAAAACAATTTTGTAATGCCATCAATTGTTTTCACTTTGTGATTTTGGCGTGCTGGCTCAAGTTGAGCAATAGAGGTCCCCTTTAATCTATGTATTGCTTCTTCTATTTTCCTTGCTTCATCTAGATTATGGCCAACATGTACATATCTCTTGATAGCATGAGAAATCTAACAAAAGGCATATTTTTTAATTAATGGAAGTACATATGGGGGCGCTCTAGGAAAACCAGGTTTCGAGACTTTTGGTCAAAAAAATTTTTTTTGCATAATATTAAACTATAATATCATGACTATAATTTGTGAAAAAATTAGATGTGATTTACTTGGTACAAAAATAAATTCTTGGGGTAACCAAAATTTTATTTGAATCGAATTTAATCTATTATGGGTTTTAACAAAGTTGGCTTGCTTATTTCTAAGGCTAGCCATTTGGTAACATAGAATCATTACCTTTTTTAGGCTTATTTTTGTAGAAGAATTTTTTGAAGAAGGGTTCATGCTTTGATACAGCATATCAAAAAAACCTTTTAACGAAGGATCTCTTTCTTTGATCATTTTTATGAATTCATCAGGATCATTAATAATTTTGTTTTTTTCACAATGTTAATAATTATATAAAACAGAAGAAAGCCTTTTTATTTGATCATTAAAAAAATAAATAAAAAATAAAAAATAGGAAATAGTAAAGCTAATATTTGATAACCTTTAATATGTCGAGTGATTTTTTCTAATTCTGCTTTTAATTCTATAACTTGATTTTGTAATTCCTGTAAAGTGAAATTAGATGTGTTGATATTTATTTCCATTTCCTTCCTCCATATGGTCTTATAATATCTATTATTTCTAATGTATATTAATATGTATGTGTGTAAACGTGAATGTGATGTATATGTAAACATGAATGTATAAAACGTCCGCTGTTACCATTTGCAAAAACGAATTTAAATACTCTCTTACAAATATTTTAATTGTGGTAAAAATATATTCTTCATTTTAAAAATAATATCCTATTTATAATGATAAAATAAAAGATAATCTCATCTATTTAAATGTTCTAAACATACATAATCGGTAGAAATAATTAATATTATTAATACATAAACTTGATTTGTCACTAAAACATTCTTTAATTAATAGCGCGATAAAAATAAGATCTTATAACAAATCTTAGGAATAATTCTTAAAAAATAAAAATGTACAATCAAGAAAATAGAAAAAGGAAAAAAAATGACGGAGAACGACGAGGAATAAACGAGCAAGTGTTTATCATAAGAATGGGGGTTATTGACACTTGTCGCGTCAGACTAAAGTGACTTGCACTATATATAATAATTTTGACAAAGTAAATGAAGAAATCGTTCATGGGTAAGTGTTATTATTCATTAAAAAAGAATGGTGGTGGTGGTTATGATGCATCACAACTTGTCGTCATTCTAGTTTCCAGCTATAATAATAAACTTTGTTTTTTTTTAAATAGTGCTGCTCAAAACGAACTTTCAGAAATAAAAAAAAGTCCAAGAGGCATCTTCACAAACAATTGTTAAATTGGAAGACGAAATTTTAGATTTGAAAAAAATTCAAGAAGCATCATTACAAGTTATTACCAAGTTCGAAGATATTTCAACAACACAGGTCTCAAAACCCGAAGTAATCACTGCTAAACCAACAGAAATACCAAAAAATCCTGAAATTCATACAAAAATTTCTGAAAGCATAAATAAACTTGAAGAATCATTTAAACTTCGAGTAAAACAAGGAAGTGATGTATACAATTTAAAAAATGTATTTAAAATATATTTCTTTGATATATTTATTTATATTTATATTATATTTACATATTTACATATTTACATTTATTTTTATTTTATTTTCAAAATTCATATATCCATTCATATTCATGTTACCAATTTATTTATTTATAGGAAAATGTCAGATATACAGTGACTTCCATAATTATTGCACCACTTGACTTAAAATTTTCAAATTGTAAAATTTTACAATGTAGAAATCAT